TGTCCAGAATCTGAATGGCCTGTGGAAAGTTCAGAGTTAGATATTAATTTGAATTTAGAAGTTAAACCTGTTAAGATTTTGTGTCGTGTGACAAAATCAGAACTATTTATTGACATTGCAAGATTTTCAAATTGGTCAAAATTAGTAAGAGTAACAGCACTTTGCTTACGTTTCGTGTCAAAATTACTTAAGAAGTCAAACATATCTGAGAGAGTTCTACAACCAGAAGAATTAGAGTCTGCTGAAAATTTGCTACTTCATAATGCTCAGAAAGAATTTATATCAGATTTTGAGAATCGATTTCGAGACTTAACACCTTTTGTTAAAAATGACATTGTTAGAGTAGGTGGCCGTTTAAGTAAATCTCGATTGGATTACGATGAAAAACACCCTGTACTTCTTACACCTGACTGTACATTTCAAAACTTATTGTTCGTGAATATCATGATAAAAACAAACATTGTGGAGCCGAACGGACATTAAGTGATGTGAGAAGAAAATTTTGGATTATTCGCGGAAGATTTTTTGTGAAAGGGCTCATTAGAGACTGTGTAAATTGTCGGAAACTCCGTCAAAGTGTTCATCAAACTCTTATGGCTGATTTACCTGCTGATAGATTAAAACCTCATTCACCACCGTTCACAGTGACAGGGGTAGATTTGTTTGGTCCGTTTAATTTGAGAATATCCAGAAACAAGTGCACTAAAGCATGGGGAGTTATATTTTCATGTGGTACAACCAGAGCCATACATTTGGACATTGCCGAAAATCCTTCAACATCAGCTTTTCTTCATACTTTAAGGAGATTTGCAGCTCAACATGGGTGGTCCAGTGTTATTACATCAGATAATGGTTCAAATTTTGTTGGGGCCCAAAAAGAACTCAAACAGTTATTTGAAAATGGGAAATCTCAAATAGAAGATTTTGCAATGCTTCATAAAGTGTCATGGAAGTTTAATACACCACTTAGTAATCAAACAAAAGAAAAATGCTTTAAAAGTTTCGGTTGGAGAACAAACTTTATCTTGGAATGAGATGTCAACTGTATTTTCAGAAGTGAAGTGTTTAGTAGACCTATTACATTCTCATCCAGTGATCCAAATGACTTACAACCTATCACACCAAATCATTTTATTTTGGGTAGAGCTACAGCAGAAATTCCTTTTCAAGAAACAAAAAATTTGCATAAACCCTTTGAATTTGTTCAAACTATTGTAACTAGATTTTTTGATAGGTTAATCAAAGAGTATTTTCCTACATTAATGAGACGTGTCAAATGGCAATCTAAAGGTCGTCAATTACAAGTTAATGATATTGTATTATTAAGAGATTCTAATATTGCTCGTGGAAAATGGCAACTCGCACGCATAATTGAAGTATATCCTGGAACAGATGGCATAGTTCGTAATGTTAAAGTTTAATGAGTATAAAAGATCTATTCAAATGTGTTGTCCAATATTAGAAGTGTCAAATTTCTTTACTTTATAATAGTATGTTTAGTTAATTAAGTTTATATGTATGTTAAAATATGTACTCCGTCACTCCTTGGCCCCTTGGAGGATTGTTCTGAATAGTCAGTCGCTATTTACTTTGTTTTAGTTTTCATAGAATTCAGCTTTAATATATTTACGTCATTGTATGTCTATATTAGGTAATATAATTTTCATTGGTCCACATGACTTTTTGTTGCTCCTCGTGTTAAATCGCCACTTTCGTTCAGAAGAGTCGCCTTCAACTTTCGCAGACAAATCGATAATAATTTAGGGTCTAGAGACACAACCCTTCAGGTAGCTATTATATTTTGTTTATAAATGTATTAAGCATATTATTATAGCCTATTGTACATGTGTCAATGCGCTTTCTATGAGTATTTCCTGTTTAAAGTGTCAGAATTGTCTAGATCATAGTTTGCATTTCATAGACACAATTTTCCTGTCCGCTAAGATTTATTGTATATTTCCTAGTTATACAACGTATTTTCATAAGTCTCAATATATTGTCAGTTTCATATCTGTATTGTATTCAATATGTTAGGTAGGTAATAAGAGAATGAAACTTATAGAGTTAACTTGTGTGCATTGATCAGTTAAGTACGTGCCTTTAGTTGATATTGATTCTTATCAGTATAACTTTTCTCTTTTCAGAATAAAATTTTATTATTTCTGTAACATAATTCTGCTTGGAATAAAAGACCCTATCAGTGATGCGGGTAAGAGGGGCTGACATGGAAAAAGTGTCTAGTCGTTCGGATGGGACAATAAACCGAGGCCCCGTGTGCTACAGGCTGTGCACGTTAAAGATCCCTCGACAGTTGGAAATCGAAAAAGAGCAGGCTAATGCCGCTGTCCTGGCAAAATTTCCCTCAACGCACCCTGCATGGCGTTGCCCGTCTTCATTAGCTCACATGGTGCAGAAAAGTAGGACGTAAAACTCCATTCATTTCAAGTTAAAACACACAAGTTAGCCTATAATACGTTGGATTTGATAATAGTTTTAATAATATTTCATTATCGCTTTCTTTGTTGTGGTTCATAAGATTCAATTTAGCCATCATAGTGTCTCTTTCGGTGTTATATATAATTACAATGGAGAAGGAAATAGGTTTCATCTTCAATCATACCAGTGTTGCACAATACACACTTTCTATCTTCTGGTTTTAACCCAGAGTATCGTCCGGTTTCTATTCCACATCGTAATTGAGCAAGATGAGAGCGTTCAGTTTTACTAAGGTTAATATTTATATAAGGTGCAGGCTCATACACAGATTTAATTGTCACGTACGTTCTTAATTTTGATATTGAGGAAATTTCTTTTGTCCACTCAGTTTTGTACAGAGTAAAAAGTTTCTGTTTCATATCATCGATATTACAACTTAGTTTATTTCTAAATATATGACCTTCGCCTACACAGAAATATTGATTTTATTTCTGAGCACCAGTTTCCATTATCATATTGATAATCATATTCAAACACATCTCCTGAACAGTATTCTAAAATAATAGCTTGTGGTGATCATATAATAACATGATTGTATCATTTTTAAGGATCAAGTGGAAACTATGGGAGTTTCGAATAACTATATCTTATCATATGAGTCCAATATGATCAAGGAACTTTTAACGTTGATGTGTATGCTTAATCGAGTACATATGCGAATTGATATAATCGCCATTTCTGTATAAAAAAAAAAATAGTGTTTTCTATACATTAAAGATAAATGATGCAAAAGTTTTCGAAATTTGTTGATGTAAAAAGTGGACGAAAATATAAGGATACATGATTGCACATGATTATATTTGTTGAATGGTCTTGAAAATGATTTATACCACCGGTCATAAAACTAATAGTCAATTAAACATACTGCTATTCACATGACGTGGAAGTTATAACGTGTACTGATCTGCAACTTCCGGTCAATTTTTAAACAATTGTGTTCATAATTTGATGAATTTGTAGAAAATCAGAAAGAACAGCATTTATTTATTCCAAAGATGAATGATTTGCACAAAAAATCACGGGAAACGCCATCAAGATGTACAAAAATGAAGGAGATACACGATCAAACTTGGTCACCATAACAATTTGTTAATTGCGCATGGGAAAGTATCATTTGGTTAAGTGTTTCAAAAGGGTTTCAATTCCTATTTAAGGTTCGAATATTTAATATCATATCAGTTTTACAACTCCCTCGTGTCACCAAAATGATGTGGATTATTTTCTGTACATTGCTTGGCGTATCATCTGGTAGGAATTATGATTACTGAATTATTTTCTGATCAACGTGTTGGTGCGTTTTAGGTTTCATTTTTTAATTGTGTTACTTTTTGGTTTGGTTTTAAATCTCTATTTGTATATGGAATATTTTATCTTTTCATGGATATCTGCCTTCTTTCAGGTAATCGTCTTTATGCAAGATTAACACCAGTGGAGGATGTACCTGACCAATATAAACCAGAACTGGTACCCGTGGCCAACATTGTAATCAATGGTGCCGTTCCTGAATTAGTGCCACTTTCTAGCATTCCAATTCCTAATGCTGTTCCACAGTTGGTACCACTTGCAAATATCCCAATCGAGGATGCTCGTCCACAATTAGTACCACTTGCAAATATCCCAATCGATGATGCTGTTCCACAATTAGTACCACTTGCAAATATCCCAATCGATGATGCTGTTCCAGAACTGGTACCACTTTCTCACATTCCAATTCCACAAGCTGTACCACAGTTGGTGCAACTTGCAAATATTCCAATCGATGATGCCGTTCCCGAATTGGTGCCAATTTCTCACATTCGAATTCCTCGAGCTGTACCACAATTAGTGCCACTCTCAAATATTCCAGTCAGTGAAGAAATAGCACAGTTGGTGCCCCTATCCTACGTTCCAATAAAGAATGATCTTCGTGCAAGACTTGCATAATTGAGTATAGAAATAAAGTCTTCTAAAATCTTTCTTATCTCTTCCAAGATGTAAGCTTTTGCATATATAATGAGTGAATATATTTTTTATGTATAGCCTATGTGAGATTATGGTCTTCGCCAGTGAATTGCAACAGTTTGGTGATCTTTAGTCCTGCTTCATATTCCTTTAGCAACACGGTCCTGCTTACAGGCCCGTAGCCTGACCTGTACTCCTGGGGGGCAAACGTGCAATCGAGGGGGAGGGGGGGGGGCAATTTAGCAAAGCACCTTAACAGACGATTAAACGTGGGGAAACGGACTTTCACGTGAGTATTTTAGATTCGAGATTATTTTTGTTAAAACACACAAGTAATAATACGTTGGATATTTATTGCCGTTTTAGACCAGAATGACCACTGTTGACCATTCACTCAGACTTACATGCCGCTCCTATTGACTCAGGAAAAAGAAAAGGTGTACTTTAAAAAAGCAACCGGTACATTTTTCTAGGGGGCAAGATTTGATATTAAGCGTTTTTCAATAGCTAATTGCATATATGGATAATTTTAATATATGATAAAGTTTTTTGGATTTATCGGATTATTTAAGGATCCTGTTATGTTATTTATGACACCAGGTATATGTACTGGCTCTTATTAGCCAAGTTTAAAATACTTAAATTGTATGTTAATTCTAAGACGTAGTATCACTTTAAAGGGAAAAGTGGGCCTAATTTATCGCCACATTTACGTCACTGTGACGTGTAATAGTACACGGCTTCGTCTGATGTAGACACTAAAATGCGGTTGGCTGTTTGTGTAGGAGGCCCATGGGTAGATCTCATGGCAATTTAGCTGGTTGATGAGTGTTGGTTGATGATTCTTTTGAAAGATGATCCATATGAACAGATTATATAGTGTTGTCGTATCTAAGACACTCCTCGCCAAGCCAGGATGGCATAGGCTGATGACCTAGGCTAGGACAGAGAGGCTAAGAATGACTGTGAAAGTGAGTGGAAAAGGTTTGTGTTGTAAATGCTATTATCAGAGTTAATAGAAGTAGCCTACTAAACCAATGCTTTCTCATTTCCGGCATTAAAATAGATTACGTTAATATCATAATATAGAAAACAGTTCTGTCCAGTGTCTACTACATAATAGGCTAGGCTAAGACATTTTAGCAAACTTCAATAATTTAAATATAAATAGTACTAGTAAAATAATTACTAGGCCTGGCAGACGTGATAAGTAAATATTTATGAATTGAAAGCTAAAAACTTCATTGTCTCAACCGCAACAATTTTGGGCTAAGTGTAGGTTAGAATTGAAATTTGCTGTGGGCTGTAGCAGTTACTTTGACAGCGTAGTTCTACTTACTTTGAAGTTACGCTGTATAGATTTTTGCTTGTAACAAATGTGGATTGGGATGTCGTAGAAAAACTGCAAGAGCCACCGCTTCTAGTTTAGACCAGGAACTATCTAATATCAAGAAACATGGTAGTCTCCCTCATATTTTAATATACCGTATTGCAAATTTTATTTTATATTTTCGTTTTTCTAAATGAAATGATATAACGTGTAGCATTTCAGTGTTGCCTACGTGTGATTGGTGGTTAAACATAGATAGCCAATCATTTAACAGTAATATTACTTCCGTTTTTCACAAGATAGATACAGTTTACTAAACAAGTATGGTATATTTATGACATGGCACCTGAAAAGTAAACTTTGGCTTCATTTTCCCATATTGTAATACATTTATCAGTGTTTTGTAAAAATGAGCTGCCAAAATGGAGACCAAGGGAAATATTAACAGTGAATATTTGAGAAATCGTAAAAATAAAATGGTTGAACCAGAGAGTCATGAATTATTAGAATTAGATGAAGATACAGAAGAAATTGACAAAGATACCACCCCATTAATTCCATCAGGATCAAATGACAAAAAATCCAAGAATAAAAAGCATGCGAATCAAAATGGAAGTTTGGCTCGTAAACCTACAAGAGACGAAAGTTCTGAAATTACATCCTTGGAAAATGAAAATGGGTCTGATACAGAAGTAGAAATTATAGACAAATCTTCAGAAACTAAACAACAAGATGAAGGGACATTGATGATTGCCCTTCAGGTATTTATTCCTTATATAATAGCTGGGTTTGGTACAGTTGGTGCTGGCATGGTATTAGATGTGGTCCAACACTGGCCAGTGTTTACTGAGATCTCAGAAGTTTTTATACTTGTGCCATCACTACTTGGTTTAAAGGGAAATTTAGAAATGACATTGGCATCAAGACTTTCTACTCAGGCCAACTTAGGAAAGATCAATTGTAAGAAAGAACTTTGGAAGATGATTTTTGGAAATATGGCTTTAGTTCAAGCACAAGCAATTGTTGTTGGCTTTATGGCATCTGTTGCTGCTATGGTATTCGGTTGGATCCCTGAAGGAAAATTTGACCTACACCATGGATTGTTGTTGTGTGCTAGCAGTATATTTACTGCATCAATAGCCAGTTTGATTTTGGGAGCAATAATGGTAGCAGTTGTTATTTCATCAAAAAAATGTAATATTAATCCAGATAATGTTGCTACACCTATTGCAGCAAGTTTAGGAGATTTGATTACATTGTCTCTTTTAGCCTTTGTCAGTCGTTTGTTATATGAGGCTTTAGGGAAGGATGTTTGGCTTGCACCTCTAATTATAACAACATTTGTACTTTTAATCCCATTGTGGATATATATTTCTGTGAAAAATAAATATGTTAATGATGTTATATACTCAGGGTGGGTGCCTATTTTATCTGCAATGCTAATCAGCAGTGCTGGAGGCCTTATATTAGATTTCACAGTCAAGACATTTGATGGTATTGCAGTATTTCAACCCGTCATAAATGGAGTAGGGGGTAATTTAGTTGCTGTTCAAGCTAGCAGAATTTCTACTTATTTACATCGTAATAGTGTTCCTGGGGTTCTACCGGACAGTGAAAAAACTTGTGCCAATCCTTTTAAAGTGTTCTGTGGGAAAAATTCTAACGCTCGAGCTGCTAGAGCTCTTTTATCTCTTGTTATACCTGGACAAATTTTATTTATTTATGTGATATCATACATGAAAGCGGGCCATACATCTATAACATTAGTGTTTAATGTGACTTACCTTACTGCTGCCTTTTTACAAGTTCTTCTTTTACTGTTTATAGCTGATTGGATGGTTCATCTTATTTGGGTGAAGGGAGAAGATCCAGACAATGTTGCAATACCATACCTAACTGCTATTGGAGATTTGTTAGGAACTGCTTTCCTTGCACTAGCTTTTGCATTTCTTTATGCTATTGGTGATCGTGATTCTGATGTTGGTGAATAAATTGTAGTGATTATTTAAGTCAAGTTAAGGAGAATTAAATTTCAAGACTGGGTATGTTCTTGTCTAACTATTTAATCTATTGGTAATTAGCAAAAAGTGATCAATTCCAGTTACCTTATAATGGTTTTGAAGTTCAATGAATGCACTTTTCAATACGAAGATACCAACTGTAGTAAGTGAAATAAGAATTGTTTCGGAGAAGAAGAAAAAAAACCTCACATAGCAGTTCAATTTCAGATATAAAAAGATTTCAGTTTTGCATGGTTATATACTATTTATATTGATATTATTTTATTTTGTTATGATATTATTATGGAATTATTAAGTCTTAAAGTTTTGATTTTAGGTTTATTTCTATGATTTCTAACATTAGATTGGGTCCAAAAACTCGAAGATCATTCCTGTGATAAACCAGATTTGTCATATTTTGTCTTTTGTTATGGATTACCAGGCAAAGAGACATTTTGCTGAGCAAAAATAAGCACTGGGATGTGCTCATTGAATCTTTACATGATTACATTATTGTTTTATATTTACTGATATCAGCATTATATAGAAAAGGACAACGAAGAATAAAGTTAGGTGAAAATATATCAGTCATGAACTTCAAAATGATATAGACACTACCTAATCGGCAGAGCATTTTCTGTTTCTGGTCACAAATTTTGATCAACTCAAGAGAAAATGATAATCGACCTTTTGTTCCAATCTATAAATTAGAAGTAAACTAAATAGGCTTAAAATACATGATCTAATGTCATTTTTCAGAAAAATTTGAGGCCTTTTGTTTTTTTATGTACATATAAACTATGCTCTTCTAGAATGGTTTGAAGAAAAAAGTTAGATTGTTAGATTGGTTACTGGTATTTATTATTGATTTTTCAAAGTCTAATCTTATGTTATCTTTATTTATGTGATAATGTCATGCATATTGCTTTGATAATACATGTATATTTTCTTTACTACTCTGATGTCAGCTATAGGGCAAATTCAAAATCTATAGATTACAGTGCAATTAAAGTTATACTTATATTTTTGGTAAAACAGCTTTTTCATTTATTGGGGTCCTAATAATTTTATGGCCAATGCCCATGTTGCGAAGTTAACATATTTTGTTGTCTTTCCTATTCAGAAAATTCTTTAATTTAATGAATAGGCCATTTGAAATCCAGATCAGAAAGATTTACTCTGTTCAATAAAAAAACTTTACCGAAATATATGTTAATTTGAATCAACAGTCATCCAATAATGATATTATGCATAGTTATTGATGATAATTCGGTCAAATTCTGATGACTTTCAGATGAATAGCTTTAACTAACTGTTCTACACATATAAAACAATTATGGTCAACTCAATAAGAGCTTCAGTTACTATCTAATCATATTTCAACTTAATATGTTTATTGATGATAAATTTGAACTTGATGATATTTTGTTTTTAGTAATTGCAGTTAGTTTCTTAAAAAATTTCATTTCTTACAGCTGTCAGTGGGCATTGTTACCTTGCCTGACGAGCTGTTTTTTATATATTCTAATATTTGATAATTGATATTTACTGAACATTTTGTACAAGGTGTGATTTATTTTAGAT